TTTACAACAATCAGTGCAGCAGGAATCACGAAATTAGCGATTTGTCAAATGAACCATATTACAATACAAAAGTGTTGCTTGATTTATTTTAAACTTGTATTCTAAATTACTTCACATGTATTGATGCGTATTTTTGTTACCCCCCATGTGAATGTTTAGTTACGTCTGCTGAAAGTAGTACAACCTGACCTGACCTGACCTGTTGTTTGATTTTTACAGACTTGTGACAGAATTAATTTCCATGTCCTTCGATGACAATAATCTACATTACACATATATATATATATATAAATATATGAATCTATGAAAGTAAAGATGGGCTTAATCCCTAAGTTCAGTTTTAAAAAATACACGTTATTTACAATTCTACCAGATTCTGCTCAATACATAGGATATTGTTTCCGCCTTACTTTGTCGTCATTTTTGGTTGATGGTTGTGGAATCTACTACTTAACTTTAAAGAATCAGGGTGGATGGAAGTCCGCTACTGTTGCGGGGGGCTACGTGGAGGAATCATTAACCAAAAAATTGCAAGTTTCTAAGAAGATTTTTTCTTGTATGGTAGTTTACAATTCTAAACAAAATGTTTAAAGAAATTGTATCAAATTTTTCATAACCGTTATGAATTATATTCTCATACGTTAGAGTAGCCTGTTTGTTTAAATGCAGCATGAACATGTTTCCTGTGTTAAGTTCAAAAAGCAGTTTTTCCCAAATCGCATTAAATTTCGTACTTTAAGAGATGACCGATTTCTTTTCACATTTGTTTGTTTTCTGTCAAAACAGTGTAGAATCTCGTGATCATGGTCTCTAGTTTGTTTTCGTGTATCTGTACGATTTACGACCAGATTTGTGGCATTCTTGGTACTCTTCTTTTGTAACTTCCTTCAGTTTAAGTACTGTTCTAATTTTTTGAGAGCGATGGTATGTTACTATTGGACGGTATAATTATTGTGAGTGCAGAATTTAAAAAAAAACTCAATCGACGAAAAGATACTTATGATTTTGTTTGATATAATGGTGAGTGCAAAAAATATGCAACTACTGTTTCACGTGGGTATAGAGAACAATATCCGAATACCAGACACCCTGACGAGCTCTTGTTTTGACTTTGTGTGTTTTTGCTTTTAACCTAAAAATTGATATTTATTTCAAAATAGTCAAAACCATACAGCTAACTATGTTTTATTTAAAAAATAAGGAAAGTAAATATCTATTTGGTTCAAATTTAAATAAACTTGAAACTGGAAAGGGTTCGTTGGATCTACTTATATTGGAGGTCTTTATGGTAGGTGTATAGAACAGATTTGCTTTGTTTTTGATATAATAAGTTTAATTCATATACAGGATGGCCCAAATAAAACGAAACAGCGGGACCGTAGGCGCTGTTCTTGATTATGTGAAAAATGTTCGGACATATCGATTTTTGATTTAAGGGCTACGAAGTGAATGAAGGTCATTTTTAAGATTTATTACATTACAGTCTTAACGAGTAAGTCAAAAAAGGTGATATTTTAATGATTTTTCATAATATTATTCCTCAGGAACCAAACCACCGACTCTAAAAATTCAATCACTGTTAGAAAGAGAATTAACAGGGGTTCCGCAATATGCGGTAAAAGAACGAAAATAGTAACGTTATACATCCATCTTGAATCTTCAAAGACCTTTGACTCAATTCCCCTTAACATTTTACTCCATAAACTTAATTTAATAATTAATTAATTTTTAATTTTGGTTGTATGAGTCCGCTTTTAAATCTTTTCCAGTTTTATTAATATTGATTAGTTGAACAACAGGCGTTTAGCCCATTTATACAGTGCATCTTTTTAAAAGTGGCCATAGGGATTCCCAGGTTAAATTTTAGACCCCATGTTAACTTTTGTTAGGGTGAAAACCGGGAGATAATTTTTGCGGAGACAATAGTCTTAAGCCGGATTTATAATTTGTCCGTACACGCAAACGGCCCCCGATGACGCAACGGAAGAAAGTTCAACATCAGGTTTTGCTAACATGCATTTATAGCAACTCCGCATCCGGAAGCAGGTCCGTAACAGACGCAAGTTATTGCGATGCTTACGTTCGACCGTGCGTTCGACCAATACGGGTGGCTATTGTGCCGAGAGAATCCGAATAAATACGGCGAAAATCGAATCAGGTCTGTTTTTACATGGCTGTCTACAAATATTACCGACAAAAATATCTAAATATATATTTTAATTTTTTTACAGAAATATCCTTTAATTTTAAACATGGCCTTTATTAAAATCGACGAAAGATAACCCAGATTACATCAGTAAAAATTTCAACTCTGAATCTTTACTCAAACATAAGTTAACATGGGGTATAAAATTTAACATGGGAATCCCTATAGCCACTTTTAAAAAAGATGCATTGTAGATCAACATAATAGAACAAACAGATGGAAAAATACATGAAAAAGTACAATTTGAACAGTTGTCCGACTAATCAGCAGCTATAATTACTGCTACCCTCTAAAGGAATTGGAAAACTGAAGATGAATCTTATCAGAGTAAATCAAATGCGTCTTGCTGTTTGTGATACTCCGAACACATTGCGTAAATGGGCGAGTATTTAAGAACGTCAATACGCGAAGTTGGAAAATAAAGATGTTGAGACCTAGCAGAAGGTCTAGGTACACCAAAGCAAAGTTGACCCAGAATCGCTGGACAGTCAACATCATTCCGAATGATTTTCTTAATAACACCCTTTAAATCCCTACGTGCGGATCTAAAGTTTAGGAGGTTAGTCTCGGTCTTATTCGATTAATATTTAGTCCAAAGTGTCCATTTGAGATTAACCATTTTAATAACGTCCATCGTAAACCAAGCAGGGTAAGAAGAATTACGACGACGGTGAGTTTTCGGGACATAACTATCAAGGATTGAATTAAGTTTGTTATAGAAAAGTGAGCAGATGGTATTGACATCAGTGGCATCCTTCAAAAAGTTCCAGTTAACTAGACCAAGCTGTTCATAAAGATTGCGAAAATTCCACTGTACATTCGAAGACTCACATGTCCCTATGACTTTTGTTTTAGACGACTGATATTTTAAAGTAATTAAGAAGGAGGGATGATGTAAGTCTTCAGATAAAAGATAATCTTCAGATTTGTCTACCACGCATTGTTGGCTAGACAGAACCAAATCTAAGAATCTGCCATTGTTATTAGCCACCTTGTTGAATTGGACAAAGTTAAAATTTTTATCTTGCAAACAAAAAGAAATACGTATTTTACAATAGTTTCAGTTCTGATCAACATATTTCCATTTCCAAGGATGAAATCTGAAACCGCTTTTATTCATCATATTAATAATGTTTTAGTTGAGCGCTTAACTTGTTCGCGGCTAGGATTCGCACATTATATTAACATTTCCTCTATAGATGTTCAATTGCCACAAGTCAAACTAAATATTATATTTGATTAGAGCATCGCTAACAAACTCCCTCTAAACCTAGATAAATGTTTCTATATCACTTTTTCCCGTAATTAGACGCAGATCATTTCATTATATTATACAACTGGACGATCTTAGTGAAGAAAAATTGATGCAAGGTAATTTCGATAGAAATTCCTTCTCTCCTGAAGTACACTAAAACATATCCAGTTTTTCCAAAAAATATAAAATTTGATTTTCCAAATTTTAGGGAAAATGGAAATTAACTGTTCCATTCATTTTTTTAATTACCTGATATAAGCAATTCTAAAAAATATGAATACTATGTCTTCATTTTAAAAAATTCAAAACAAGAATCTAGAAAGTGATGAAAATTTTAAAAAGAATGATGAGAAGATAATGGCAAATTGTTAAAAACCTGCCATTGTGTTATACAGAGAAAGTTATTGACAGCTTATATTTCAAATTTCATTGCAATAAGTGTGTCAATAATGAAGACATTATATTCTGAAAATGTATTGAACTAATATCTAATTTTTTGAAATTCACATACTTTTTTGTATACAGTAGCATTTTTATACAGTTTTTTCTGTATTTGGGTCCATCTTGTAAAATAAAAATGATTATTATTATTATTATTAGTAAAACAGAGTATACAGTTCCAGAAATTAGACCGTTACGTGTACGGCCTTCGTCTATTATTTATTTAGAACACTAGTAAAACTTGTAAGGGTTAGCGGTTTTGATTGAATGAAAAGCTAAAGAGCCAAGTAATCACTTTTTGGAACAGCGACTAAAAGACTTTTATTTAGGCATATTAAATAGTTCTCGAAGAAATGACTTAAGTGTGTTGAAATAAGGAAAGATTAGGGAGACAAATTAAAATGTATTTATTAAAAACCATATGTAGACTTGGTTTAATAGCCAGGTAGATTGTTAATTGAATTCTCGTCATATAATTTTGTTGTTTGTTCTGATCTTCATGATAGTTTTACGTAACATCACAGTCTGTAAGAGAAATCAAACACTGCTTATTACGGTAAATATCACAATACTTAACGAATAATGGAACGCTACATTTTGTTTCTTCGTTTTCGTAAGGGGAAGACATTATTTTCGCTAATTTTAATTGTATGAACATAAAATAAGGCAGTATTTTTGTAGTAAGCAATTATTCTATTATCGCAGAAAAATTTCGCTTTTTTTATTATACATTATTATGTCCTATTTCATATCCACCGTTTTTTGGTTCATGCTGGTAACGTAATAAATATGTCTATTGATTGACAACATCCTAACGGTTCAGTTGTTACCAACTGATGCAGGCGCGTCAAAAATAAGATTCAATTAATCACAATGTTGGAAATACAATGAAATTTAAATTATGAATGAGTGAATGAGTTTTCTGTGTATCAGATTATTAGAAATTATATTACAACAGAGTGTATCCACATGATTTCAAATATAATTCATTCATTTCTCTACCCATAGTTAGAGCTGCTAAAACGGCTCCAATCGTTTCAAAGCCAAATCCCACACATTTTTTTACTTCCACTGCTTTTAAAAATCAGTATTACTAACCGTCAATTTTATTATTTAAAATGTACAAATTATTAATAAACGTTAACCCTTCGAACGCGTCGCGCTCGATCACACCCAAATCGGACTCCTGTATAGACAAGACGCCGACATTAGTGAGTCCTCTAAAAGTTCCTTCCCTCAACGCCGGCAGATCCATGAACGCCAGTTTCAAAAATCCCACGGTATCTAAGCCGTTGAATGCGTCCTGCTCTAAAACGCGCACTCCCGATGGGAAATTCAGCCTTTCAACATTCGTTAAACCGCTAAACGCATTGCTTTCAATCTTGATTATGGGGTTATTAGTCAGCACTAGTAACTTTAAATTCGAGGTTCCAGCGAACGAGTAGCCCTCCACCTTCTTGATTTTATTGTGGCTTAGATAAATGGAGGTGATGTTCTGTAGACCGGCGAAGGCGAACTGGGCGACGGTAGCCAGAGGTGTTTGCTGAAACAAGAAGAAAAATTATCGTGTGGAGAAGAACATGCCAATAGGAGAGATGTTTCAACATATTGACAGATGAAACAATAATGCATTAACACTGATTAAAATGGTGTATTATTAAAATAGTCTATTACGATACCTACGCAATAGCCTAACAATTGATTAACGAAATGGCAATGCTCATTTCACAATCCTTGAAAGAAATTCGCCTGACAACACTCACTCTGCATTATACTTTTCGTTCTAAGTTTTGCAAACTATACTAGACATAATTAGTTTTTTTTTATCTGTTCACTCCCCACTGCAGTGTATGGCTTTTTTTCGGACTTTAGGGGAAAAATTGGGAGTCAGGTTGTTGTCAAACTCTTTTAATTTGAACGTAAAAGATACGTAAAAATGTTGTTCTGTGTATATATGGTTGTTTATTTGTAGCTTGTAGATTAAACTGAACAATTCTATTTTCAATACACTTTGTATCACCAGAGTCAACTAATTGTAGTAAAACAATTCTTATCGTAATTTATTTTACTTTACGTTTTAAAAATGATAAATGATTATATTGAAATTTACAAGTAGGTATCCATACAGGATGAACTATTTTTATGCACATAGTTAATAAGTAAGAAAAAACTAAACCAGTAAATCGTTCAAACATCACACGTCCTTCGATTCAAGCTGCACAGAAAGGAAAGTTTGATTTTGTGCAGGAAGAGACGTTTCCTTAGTTACCACTCTAAGTTGAACACCTGTTCCAATGGAGTTTAAGTCAACCACTAAACAGATATCACGGAAGGAACTAAAGAGTTTTGGCACCTTTCCTTAACAATTTTCTCTTTTTTCTGCCAGGCATTTTTTCATAATTTGAAGTTTAAAAAAATTAACAACCTGCCAATGTTTTCAGTCATAAACATCAAGACAAAAAAAAATCCTAATGAATGAGGCAAAGACATCCGACATTGTCCTAAATTTGACAAGGTTATTGCAACTTTGTCGGACATACCTCTCTGACTACCCTCAAACATCCATCTTTTCACATCCATCCATGTCTCATCCAAAAAAATAAATGTTATATCTTCTCAGGGTAACTGCAAATATCTCCCTAAAATATGAAGTTTTAAAGATTGTAAATGTGTTCCGTCTACTAGAATTTTTGTATTGTCAACTTTTTTGTATTTGTAGCCCGTACATTTCAGAGTTCTAAATTATTTTTTTGCAAGTTCAAATACAACTTCTGATTTAAACTATTTTTTTTTTCATGCAAGTTTGTGCCGATTAAGATCTTCTTTAAATGGCTAGTCTGTGTAGATATGGGACTTTGGACTTCTACCAGTCTGAGAATTTTGGAAGGTGTAGGTAACGGTTCGATGGTGAAGTAAAGTGGTTTTGATTTGATTTCTTGAGCATTAATGGATAAGATGGGACATATAAGGTAGAGTGTGAAAACAACAAGGTATTACTATCATATCGAAAACTGTTGTAGTTTGTCCTCTATTTGACTTTTAGACGTCGAGGACTGGAAATGTTGTTCTGGTGACATTTGACTATTACCATTTCCATTTGACAGAACAATAGAGTTCTAGTTTGCGTTTTGGTAGAATTATCCATTTTTAATTCAAAAATTAATCTCTCAACAATTTTAATCGTGCACTCGTCAATAAATTGTCAAATTTCGTCACTGCCAACCGTGTCGAACAGAAAATCGAAATAGGGGACTGTAACCAATAACCATTCTTATTTTTTTCAGGTGGATAGATCGAAATGGTGTGGAAACGGCTGCCCTATTGCTTAATTAGTTTGAACATGTTTTTAGACATCCTAGCGTCAAAATAGGAAGAGAACGGTTTACGATTTTCGGTATCTCTTAATTTAGTATAATTTCTTACGATATGTGTAACTTCTAAATTGAACTAAAAAATACCCGGACAACTTAATCCACAAGAATTTTAAAACATTGGTGGAAAGTTATTCGACAGAACTTTCCTCGCGTCTAAAATACAGTCGAAGAAATACAGTTTCCAAAAATTAACAAATTTAATTTGGAGGTTTTTTTTGATGATCTCTATGAGCTAAAATTAATATATGCATAGATTGTTGAAGTACAGGTAAAGAAGCCCCGTATGCATATGTAACATATGTTTTTAGTGAGTTTTTAATTAATATAATTTTTTTTAATGACGTCGTTACGGAAGCATAGAATGGTCACATGGATTTTTTTTTAGTAAAAACTCGACATGTCGGGATTAAACTCAATGTGTTGAGAAAAACTAGACATGTCGAGATTAAACTCGATATGTTAAGTCTAAACTCGACATGTCGAGTTTTTTCTCGACATGTCGAGTTTTTTCTCGACATGTCGAGTTTAAACTTAACATGCACACTTTTTTTATGACATGAAAATGTACTTAATTGTTATTAAGAATTCCCGAAGTTGCAGGCCACGACTGCAACAGCACTGGCCATCGGACGTCGATGAGCATTACTTCCGCGATGCCGAAGTCTGCTGATTACGAATCTATCTTGAGATTTATCAGTTAATCATAAATAACGATACTTCTGCGACATGATCACATTTTTGTCAAAAAATGTATCGATTCGAATATTTCCAAGATACGAACATGTATTACTAGATGCGTGTCGATTATCTCGATAACGTGACGTGCTAGAGAAACAAAACGATTGTAGATTTAGAATCAGCATATTCAACTAATTCTTTTTCTTGACGATTTTTTGGTTGTAGACCAGTGTTTTCTTGCTTTTTGAATTTTGATTGCTACGTTATGAGTGTTATGACTCTTACTTCCCCTTGAGATTTCGATAATAATAAAAAAAGTATATTTCTATTTATTTATTTATTTATTTATTTATTTATTTGACTATATTTTGTAAAATTATTAAATTAATAAAAATAATTATCTATAGAATTTGATATCATTCGTGATTAGCAAAGTAATTACACTTGGTGAGCATCTTAGAGCGCTGGTAATTAGGACAGAACGAGTGTATCAAAATCATATTCAAAATTATAATTGATGATATAATATGTCTGTATGCAGTTCGCATTACATGAATTTATTATTACTATACTCGACCATATAAGAGCAAAATAGATAACTTTTTTTTGAGAAACTATAAGTAACGTATTAAATAATTCAACATTTTTATATAATTCATTAATTCATTCGAGCGTATGGCACTTTTAATACTGCGGCAATTTTGGTAGACTGGTAATTAACGCGCTGGTAATTAGAGGCGCGGGTAATTCGTGGTGAAAGTTGGTTAATGGCACGCATTTACTACTGACATGTCATTAAAAAGTCTACACGTCGAGATTAAACTCGACATGTTAAGTTTTTTCTCAATATGTCAAGTTTAATGTCGACATGTCAAGTTATTTCTAAAAAAAAATCCATCTGACCATTCTACGCTTACGTACATCGTCAGTATTTTAGCAAGGACACGTATATCAGTTTGAATAGGGCCAGTGAACAGTTTTAGTGACAGTACTGCATCCGCAAATTTCCAGGAAAATGGGATAGTCAGTAAAATATGTCGCCTCATGAATTATTTTTTTTTGAGTCACCATATATAAACAATTAAAAAAAATTGGTCGAAGGTTACTTACTTCGATAGAGTTTTCTCCTCCTCAGTGGCGTAAATAATACCCCGCAGCCTCTGTGCCGAAAGAGCGCAAATTACAAGGGGGCGCGGTACGCACAAGCGCGGACAATATGAAATATATTTAAACCAGATAACCGAGATGAAAAAATGTATTCTTAATTCCTAGTATGTACATTTTTAACTTCGACTGTTCCTGTATATACTTCGAAAGAATTATTCGACTATTATCGTACCGTAACAGCGCTGGCATCGAATTATGCATATGTGCAAAAAGAAACTGAAATCGGATTGATTTTGTCCCTTCAACAAAGAGGAGAGAACTAATTAATCAATTAATTAATTAATTAGTTAATTAAGCACAATCGAACGTTCACCATTTTCGCCAAAGGTTTGAAAGCAAGCATGACACATGATGACCCACTGTAAGGCTGTAGCGATACCGCTTATACTCGTAGAAAAGGTTACAATATACTCGTACATAATTTCTATTTTTTTATGAAAATTTGGATCCATCGGAGAATATCTGAAGACAGTTTCATTAAGAACAAGTACAGAAGTATATCTATGTTATTTTAAAAAAGTTAGATTCTACTTATTATGAAAAAAAATGAGGTAATATCATCACATTGCTGGTAGGGCTGATTAGGCAAATTTTGCTTAACGTTTTACCATTTACACGATATTCCTAACATACATATAATTTAACAATAATCGGTCCGGCAATGTAACTCCCAAAATTTGTCTAAAGTAGAAGAGTTGAAACCTACTCTGTTAACTAGGGTGGGAACAGGCTCGTTTAAGATCTTGATACTGTTTTTTTTTTAAGTTCCTTAATTGCCCTACAGCTTAATTCGAACACTGAGATATCGATCTATCAATCATTAACTCAGAAAGGGGGCAGTACAAGAACAAAATTAGTTTATTCTAGTTTGGAAACGACAATGTGAAGTAGATAAGTACATAATGACCAAAACGAAGCATACAAAGTCTAGTCCGATTATTATAAGCCGTGACGTGATTAACTCGAGCCCACTGGACAGATCGCAAATATACCGACGACCGAAGATGAACAGTGTCTGTTAATCGTTCGTCGTCAAATAAGAACAAGGCTATACGCTAACGCACTGATGAATGATATAGACGTCTAACAATCGGGGATACTAAATACAATTGAAACTAAAGAGTAAATTTTAAAAACTAATAAAACTATACACAAACCAAACTCCGTCTCCGAGGACAACGAGAACAGCAACAGTCTAGACTAAATTAGGAGCGCGGCTTAGTTGAGGCTGCCCAGGAGTTGTTTACCCCAGGGTCTTAGTTCCTTGCCTTACCCAAAGACGAAGGGGTAATACTTGTGACGTCAAGTATGAGTCTCGCAAAGA